GCCTCCGTGCATTTCAGTGTTCCAACGACAGGTTCCCAGTGGCGTGCAAACAAGGAAATCGGGAAATGCGCTCGGTGGAGTTGGCACGCTTCCTCTTTGGAGGGATTTGAGGTCCAACTACTTACACTACCATTTCATCAGCGCAATTGCAGTTCATTTGTAAATATTGTGTGACCGAGGCTTCCGCAGACGGTTGCCTTCATTCGAGGAGGGAGGTGTGTATCCAATTCACTCCTTCTTTTCCTCCTCAAATTGCTTGATGTGGCACTGCATCGCATCGACTGAATGGGTGTCAAGGATGGCCAGTTTTGGGGTCGCATCTCACCGAGCATGCGTGGTGAAGTGTGGTTTGTTAGTTTTGAAGTGGATGATGAAACTGTGCAGTTTTGTCTCGGTGGAGGAAGAAGAGGATTGAAGAAGGAAATAGGCAGAGAGTGTCACCTCCGTCAGAGGATGTCTCACTTGGTAATGGTGGAAGTAGTGAAGGCCCTAGCAGCGGACACGACCTCATGCAGTACAGCGAAGGGAATGCCGACAAAGTACGCCATCAGATGGCAAAAGTACTTGCAACGCAGAAGCCCAAGTGCCTCCCAGCCGAAGGCAGTCTTGGGTGGCTCATCACCATGCGTGCAAGCTTGGCGAGACGATGGACTTCGCATCACTTCTGCCAACTCTCGACCAACTGACTCGGTAGCTCTGACAGAAGTTTCATCGTGTGCAACGTCGCAGTTCGATTGATGTGTGCGTAGTAGGAGTGCGTCAGGAGTGGAGAGGATGCAAGTCAAATGGAAGTGTCACTCAGACAAAGAATTTTTGAAGGTCGATGCTAACCGATGTGTTTGCAGGGTGTGTTTGTGCTACGGGAAGGCGACTTGGACTTGCACTTATGAACGCAACTATTCCCCACATTTTGTGAAATCGTGTGTTGTGCGAGGAGGCCGGCAAGTTAACGACGGTACTGCAAGCGTAGCTTCCTTGGTGACTTGGAGGCAAATGAATTCTTGTGTCGAAGCCTAACAGTACACATTCGAGTGTTAGTGAAAGCAAGACGCTGTGCTGCAACCGGGGAAAGAAGATCGCGATGTCAGGAAGGAGGTGGAATGTGTCGTCATAGTCGAAACCGCCTGGGTCATACGTTAGTAAAACACTCCATGAGGCCTTCGTCTTCCATAAAGTGTGGCGCCGCCGCTATCGTGCTTTGCAATCGCCCTGCCACTGCTCCAGTTGCACGCTCCACATCTGTGTTTATCATTCCAAAGGCCTTTTCTCGTTCGACAAATGGCGCCCACACGGAGTATCGTTAAGCTGTATGAAGAGGCCACACTGAATAGATTTCCTTAAGAGTGATCAGCATTTGTGGTATCGCAGTCGAGTGAATGCATGAATTGTCTCAATCGCGATTGCTGGTTGCTACCTCGTGGATGTGCGCAGTCCGCAGTGGTCGACGTCACTCATCCTCACAGCTGCCTCCTGCACCGTCGTCCCGTTCGTGGCGTCCACGAGCAGTCAAAGGTACAAATAAAGCGTCAACACCGAAAATGGGCACGAGGTCCAACAAATCACCCTTCCATGGCGTCTCCTTCCACAGTGTGTCGCAGCACTAATGCTGTGGATTAGGAAATGGCGAAGGTAATCTGATGGAAGGCGATGTCAAGGTGATCGGGCCTTGCGTGAGCACAATTTCCATGCGAAACAAAACTGCTTCAAGCAAGGCAAGCGGTGGTAGACAAGGCGATCAACATGTCGACTTGTTCTACCAACACACCGCGGATGAAAAGCGTACGATTTGCCATCTGCCACACGTAAGTTGACAGCAGTTTGCATTGCAGCGCACAGAAACAACACATTTCTTCCAACGTGACGCCTCATGAGATTGCTCCTTCCGTGCCACCAAATTTGATGAAGAACGGTGGACTCGAGGATAAACTCGTCCCTTGCACATCGCCTTGCTGCGATTGTGCGTGTGCACAGTTTCACTTGTGCGCCTCGCACGTTCCAATCCGAAATTGGAGCATCAGCGCCGTGGAAGTTTTGCATTCCCAACCAATGAGACAGTTGTGGTCGTATTAAATGACTCTACATAAAGTGAAGCTTCACATAAACTAATCTTGCCTCGATTTACTTCCCAGTCAGCACCTCTGTGCACAAGATGCTTCAATACCAGCGATTTTAATTGTCGTCAAAGGTGACAGAATGCAGCGATAAGCTGTTCACGCCCTTATTCGTCTCTCTTAACTCCACTTCGATGATCTTCTGCTGACACTTCCATAGAGTATAAAACCTGAAGTCTAGCCATTTCCATTTCCCATACTTCACTTCACGACCACCGTTGACATCTCCTCTTCTAAGCCTGGCTGTGAGTGTTCACCACTCCAATTGTGAAGGCGAAGGACTTCCAATTTGGGATTTAAAGACGTTCTTACGCTTATGAAATAACATTTCTTTTCCAAGCCACCTATCCGTGATCCATTCAACGGAGTGCTACCGAACCGAACCTGATTGTTTTTCGCCTCCCCATTGTGCAGGTTTTGCACAAACGGTGGCCTTCAGCGGTGAGAACTTCCACAGAATTGTGGTGTTTTTTGGTGGTTGCTTAAGGGGAGGTGATGGCATCACCTCCAAATTGAATGCTTGAATTTAGCAACTCCCAATTGCGGTGCTCCATAAACGACAAAAGCACAGTTTTGGTCCAAAATTTAGTAGGTACCTGAAGGATATCTTATGGGATAGACACAATTTCTTGTCAAATGCCAGCTTTGCTCCTGTTAACCGCAGTTCTGTGGAAGTAACTTGACGGAAGATGGCAAATGGACTCAGCACATGACACGACCCACCATCAATCCAACAATGTTTTCAGAGGGCTGTCAATAAGTGGTTGAAATCACTCCGCACTTGGTCAACTCTTCGGCGAGGTAGACTGAGAGGCAAATTCCAAGCTCGCACGTTGGCGTCTTTCTGGCAAAGTTAACTGATAACACAAAGTGAGTCGTGGATTGAAAGTAGTGCGAAATCGCTGTGTGACTACAGAGAGGAGTTGATGGTGATTGCACGCTTGGTGACATGCATTGCTCCTCAGCAGAACAGGATGGTGGAGTTTCATGTGACTGGTGGCTTTGGTGTTTGATGTTAGTCAAAAGTTCGCATTTCAACTGTGTCAACAACGCGATCAGCACCTTTGAAAATAGTGCGTGTGTGCTGGCCGAGGCACAGCGTCATCAGACATACACAATAGAGTTGTGGCCTTTGAAGGGTCCCCAAACTGCAGCCTTTTACCAACGATGAGCAACGCCGAGATCGCATAGTAATGCAAATGACGATTTCTTCTTTAATCGCTTTCTGTCTTTACTTCTTCCATCACACAAAGAAATTGACATTGAAGGCGTTTTTGGCTGCCTCAAGTGAGAGAATCATAAATCTACTGCTAACTGTTGTCCAAACGCCACCTGCACAGAACGGTGAATAAAGGAGGTTTGCCCGAATTCCAGCACAATAGAATTACTTTTTTAATGCACGTTTTGTGAACGGCTTGCAATGTTAAACACCCCTAACAAACTG